GGGTTGCACATGATTCGCGGATGAAGCCTGGCGAGATGGAGACACAACATAGGGGACGTATTTGGGTCAAATCTGCAGTTCAGGTCAACGACCGCGTCGTAATTACGGAGTATGTTTTCTTTTTGTGCGTTTTACTAGCCGATTGGAGTTAGGCGATGACTCCATTAAAAATTAGGATTTCTTTTACCTTTTGACTTTTGAGTTCTGACACCCAGAATATTAATTTTATTTTTCCCAAAAAAAATTTATTCCCAAGTTAGGCAAATGGCTTTCCTATTTGTTTTTGTGAATTGTTTTTCAAAATGTATTACACTAATATTCTGTATAGTGCGTAAAATATTAGAACCAACCATTCTTTATAATTTTATCTCATTTCTTATGTATTTCAATTTAATTTCTATTGATTACCTTACTTTATTAATCAATTTTGTATGGTTTTAGTTATTTTTCTTTTTTTTGTTATCTTATATATCTTTTTTTCTAAGGTAAGACTAATCATTTTAAAAAGAAAGAAATGGAGGTAGAAAGTCAATTTAAAAATTTCAAAAAAAATTAAAAAAAATAAGAATTCGTCAAAAATGATCACAATTTTCATTTTGTTGCGCAAAACAGGCTATTTCGGTAACCCACCGTTAGCAACTTAACGGCGACCAAAAACTCACAAATTTCTGGGATTATTATGCATCACTGTGAAAGGTGAGATTATTTTTTAAAGACCGCGTAAAGTTGGGATTATTCTGGATACTCTTATTTTTAACTTAAAGTAATTACTTCATATCTCCTCTAAAAACATGAACTCCGCATGTGTTGTGTTCTACCCTATATTTTCTTTAATTAAAACATGTCTTCTATTAGTGTTTTCTTTTATATAATTATATTTTCTTTATATTTGTCCGTATAACGATCTTGATCTTACGAGTTATGATCTCTATTAAGTGCATCAATAGAATCTCGAGTTTGCCATGCATGGGTAGTTTTGTATTGTTTTTTTTAAAACTTGGGTGCGGTTGCGTAGTTTTATATTGTTTTTTTTAACTTGGGCGCGGTTGGGTAGTTTTGAGACATTTTATGTGGTAATTCGAGACTTGTATAATATTTTCTATCTATTTTATTGGATGTTATGTATTTGATTCATTTATAATTGTAAAATTTGCACTAAATAGTACTAAGGCATATGTCATTTCTTAATGTAGTACCTAAAACTTTTTTTTTTTCTTAAATAGTACTTGAACAATGTCATGTGGTGGGAACAATATTCAATGGCGGTGGACATTTACTGGTGGCGGTGGACATTTACTTGAATAATGTCTAGTGGTATTAGATTGGGAAATTGAAACTTATAGTACTACATTGAGAAACTTAGTATATTTTAGTACGATATAGGTAAAGAAAGTAAATACAAATAAAAAGTGTGTAAATAAATTTGCCGCTCCCATTGCTGTAACTGCACCCCGTTAATTTGAAAATTTCCACACCCACTCTATTGACGCACCTGCACGTGTGCTTCATAGAGTAAAGGGCTAAGAAGAAGGATCTTCTTATGGCCTTCTCTAACCTCGAGAAGGCGTATAACAGGGTGCTGAGGAAGATCTTGTGGAGGTGTCTTGAGTTGAGAGGGCTTCAGTGGCCTACATTCGAGTACTTAGAGATATGTATGGCGTAGCAAAGGCTAGGGTTAAGACTGTCAGGGTGACTCTGAGCATTTCTTTGTAGAGGTTGGCTGACACTAGGGCTTGCTCTTAGCCCTTTGTTTGCTCTTTTGTTGGACATCCTTCCTTAGGGTGTTCAAGGGGAGGCCTCTTGGTGCATTCTCTTTGATGACAATATTGTGCTCATTGATGAAACCCGTGAGGCCGTGAGGGACTTAATGACAGATTAGAGCTTTGGCGACCTGTAGTCTAAAGGTTTCAAATTGAGTAGGATTAAGACTGAGTACATGGGATGTTGCTTCATACGTGGAAGTTAGGATTGATTCCCACCTAGTGCCTAAGAGACAAGTTTTGATGTCTTGGTCAGATCGTCAAGGCAGATGGACTGTTAGGTGGGGATGTTGCACATCATATTGTAGTAGCTTGGCTTAAGTGGAGGTTGGCCTCAAGGTACTATGTGAAAAGAAGATTTCACCTGGGATGAAAGAGTTCTACCGGTCCGTATTTAGACCAGCTATGCTTTACACTACGGAGTGTTGGATGATTAAGATGGACACACATTCTTCAACTGCATGCTGTTGAGATGAGGATGTTGCGGTGGATGAGTGGAGTTAGGAGACTGGATATGATTCGAAATGAGGTTATCCAAGGACGGGTAAGAGTTGCACCCATTGAAGATAAGTTACGGGAACCTAGGTTGAGGTGTTTTGGGCATGTGCGACGGTGGAGTTTTGAGGCCCTGTACGTAAATGTGAGATGCATACGGTGGTGGACGGGGGTAGGGGACGGAGTAGACCTAAGAAGAATTGGAAAGATGTGATTAGTCGAGACCTTAGACTTCTGGCCCTTACCAAGGATATGACCTTAGGTATAATCATTTGGGGAGCAAGGACTAGTGTATTCAGGTAGGCTTTTGGGCTTGGTGGTTTTTTTCCTTTTATCATTTGAGCCTCCTTTGCTTAGTGCCTGCTTGTTGCTTTTTCCTGTCATTAACCCTAGTTCGCTCTTTGCTACTTGTGCTTTGTGTTTTATATGCCTTCCATGCTCAATATGTGCCAATGTGTTGCATGTGTTACTCGAGTGGGTTGTTATTGTTGTTGTTAGTCATTAGTTCAATAAGTTGGAAGAAACTGGATGGAAGAATTTGATAAATTGAAAGGAGTTTGAAAAAGTTGGAAGGAGTTGATAGTTAAGAGTTACATTCAAAAGAATAGAGTCTTAGTGTTGTCTATTATTTTGCGTATGTGTTCAAGCTGTTGGGAAACCTTAAAACATGTTCTTCTCTTTTGAAGATTAAATATGGCTTTTGTAGAAGTGACATGTGCTATCAATTTCAGGAGACTCACAAGTTACTCCAACCAGTTGACAAAGTTTTAAAAACCTTGGCTATTGAGTTTGCTGAATATCAGGTGAGTTTTGTACTATATCTTAATGGAAATATAATTCTTTATGTTGCTGGAACAGGCTTGGTTCCAGTAAGCTAACCTTTATAGTTCCACAATGGACATTGTCCTATAACTAAATGTTTGATTTGTATGAGTTGATCTGTGTTCAGGTCTGTGTTGATGTTTTTCTTACCACACAAATGTATGTTGACATTGCTTCTATCTCTGTCATCCCAAGAACAACTGGGGGCCAGGCAAGTGCATAGTTCTCTCATGTTTGTTTGTCTGCACTCTATATGACCATTAACTTTGATCATTTTATTTTTCTTACTAATTTGTTTCTGTGTTTATGGGCATTGGTCGCTTACCCAAATCTCACTTTCAATTATTTCATTTATTGTGTTGAGTGCTGACATGCCAGACCTTGCACCTAAATCTTTTCTGTTGATAGGTGTACTATTATTACCCTTTCTCTGCCCTCTCTGATCCTGCCAAGCTTTACAATGATCTTCGTTGGAATATTACACGGCCACAGGGATTTGAGGCAGTAATGCGTGTGAGATGCAGCCAGGCAAGCTTTTTGTTGTGTTCTCATTTCCCCTCTTGATTTTTCTTTGCGCAGAGAGCTTCTCATGTGTTGAATTTAAAATGTAGATTATGCATCTGCTTACTCCTTCATACTATCTTCCATCCTCCTGAAAGAGGTGGCATTGGTGGCTATTCTCCACAATCAGCACATATAAAACCTCTTAGCAGGGGCATCTCTTTTAAGTATCACATACTAAACTTGTTTTAAACATTGTCACGTGCACAGGGAATTCAAGTTCAGGAGTATAATGGAAACTTTTGTAAACGCATCCCAACCGATGTTGATCTACCTGCGGTTTGTCACTCATTCACTCTCTTCCGCCCTCACTATCTCGATGTGTGTATATGTTTGCATGTGTGTGTGTGAGGACACTTGTCTCCGATTTCCTTGGTGAAATAAAAAAACTAAACAAGGAATAGTTTTCATAAGTGATTTGTTTATTGAGGGTTTAGTTATTTATCCTTATTTATTACAATTAGAAATACGATGGCTCCTGACTAGGTAGAACTAATTGAGATTTGAGATGTTTCTAGAAATATAAGTGTGGTACTCTTAGATCACTTCATTACCATTATCTATCTGACGATTACATATCATTACTTATGTTTTTAGGCAAGGGTGGGCTAATAGCTTTTAGGTCTTTCTATAGCTGTTATTGCATGAAATAAGTGATGCCTGATGAGAAGAACGTGATTATCATTCCATTCCATCATGTTTCTTTTTTTTTTTTTTTTGAGTGGGTTTAACTTGGCAAAAGCTCCATGAGCTCACATCAAGCCTTCAATTTCACAGAACCGCCCAAGCTCCAATGCACAGAATCAGGAAAGCTGTACTTAAGTACCCAGTGGTGTTATTAAAATCTGGATACCCCATCATTTAATTGTTTAATCACGTTTATCATAAAATGTTTGAACTTTTTGTCCAATCTGGTCTTGGATTGTAGTTATGACTCTACCCCTACCACCTCTCTTGCCTAGAGGGAGGTCTGGGCCCTATTTTTAAAGAGTGTGCCTAGGTACAGGGCGCACTGAAGCGTTTGAATTCCTCCTTCCACTTGTCCTGGAGCAGTGACATCAGGCACATGCTTTCTTTCGCCTCCATCCAAGTGTAGGGCACCTTATGCGGCTTGTTGAAAAGAGTCGGAAGTTAATTATATTTTAGGTCTGAAATTACCTCCTGAGCCAGTCGCACTGCAAAATGAAAAGACACAATTGCACCTTGTTCACACATCGTATGTATTCAGTGATCTCTGGTCATTCATTTATTCTCCTCTTTCTCTTCTTCCTTACTCTCCTTGTACTCCATCTGATTTTTTCTTCATCTTCTCGTTATCATTCATCTGCTCTCGTTTCGTCTTGATTATTTACAGATTAGAGTTGCTATGATTATTATTATTGTTATTATTATTCCTATATCGGCATCATCATCATCATCATTGCTGTTGTTGTTTCATTATTATTATTATTATTTGTTGTTGTTGTTGTTATTATTATTATTATTATTATTATTATCAGCCCCCTTCTTTTGACAACAAGAAGGTATGTCATATCATGACAACAAGGCCTACGGTGCTCCATTCGAAAAATTGATGGTTCCTACATCCCCTAAACCCCCATAAATCCCCCCTGCCTGGCTGCCCCCCACCCCAAAATGCCGATTGGCTACAATGTTATTATTGGGGCCGTATTATTAATATTATTATTATTATTATTATTATTATTATTATTATTATTATTATTATTATTATTATTATTATTATTATTATTATTATTATTATTATTATTATTATTATTACTCCCTCCGTCCCAGAGTATTTGTCCACTTTCATTTTTACACACCATCCAATACACTTCTTTAATCCATTTTATCTTGTAATTTGTATATTAAAAAATTATAGAAATTATATATTAATAATCTATATGTTAAGATAAATCAAACAAGATCACACATGACTATATTTAGGCTTACACATTGAGAAAATTTGATGAGTCAAAGTGCTTAGATGAACAGTTTCAAAAGTCAAAGTGGACAAATATAGCGGGACGGAGGTAGTATTATTATTATTATTACTATTATTATTATTATTATTATTATTATTATTATTATTATTACTTGTCTTGTGGCTTTCACTGTTTGTTGGCAGCTTTTCCTCTTTCCATCCTTGTTTGTTACTTAATTTTCATTTCTGCTCCTTCTATCTCTCCCACTTTACTACCTTCTTCTTTTCTTTCATCCCTTATTCCCTGGGTGTCCTAACAAGTTTTTGTTTGATTTCTGAGCCGGGGATTTTAGCTTTTATATCCCTTTTAGGCAGGATTAACTGAGTAAGGTATGCCACTATGTGGACATCTACCCTCCTCAAACCCCACATGTGGGATTTATTGGGTTGTTGATGTTGTACTGTTAATATTATTATTTTGAGATCAGTCTCTGTTCTTTATTTCCGCTGTTGTTTGCATCCTATTCACTCTCTAGTCTCTACTGCTCAGCACTCAAGGTAGTCAAACTCGAGATTCTATGTAGGATCGATGGACTTAATAAAGATCGTAACTTGTAAGATCCTATAATACACACACACAGACACACATATATATACATATACATACATACATATACATATATATATATATATACACATATACATACATACATACATACATACATATATATATATATATATGTATGTATATATAATGAAGTAGCAGTTAGTCAAACACTGCAACTTTCGATGTTGAGCCGGGGGTCTCTTTGGAAACAGCCTCTCTACTTTCGAGTAGGGGCAAGGTCTGCGTACACACACCCTCCCCAGACCCTACTCTTGTGGGATTTAACTAGGTTGTTGTTGTTGTTGTTGTTATATTAAAGACAATGTTTTATTAGGTACGAGAAAAAAGGTGGAGGGTGGGGGAGAGTAAATATATGAGTGTGTGTGTGTCTGTATATGTGTGTGTGTGTGTCTATATATATATATATATATATATATATATATATATGAAATCACTAATTTCCTATCCCCTGCGAAGCCAAAGATTCACTAATTTTTGGCATTGGGGTAATATTCTTGTTTACATATGAACTCACTTGTGCCTTAACAAAAGGTTGAAAGTCAGAATAAGACAGAGAATACATGGTGTGACTGCGTGAGTATACCTGAAGCTGAGTTGAAACTTGAAAGTCAAAAGCTACTAGGAGACTCAGCGTGCAAAACTTATTACTCCGTATCACCAGACGTCAGAGTAAATAAGCGCAGAGGCTTATTTATACAAAGCGCAGAAGAAACATGCATTGTTTAGGGGGAGTCGCATCAACCCAAGGGTCGCGTTGCATAGTATTTCTGACATTTTACTTTCATTCCCATTGAATCGCCGATCCCAAGCAATAGTACAATTGTACGATCTTGCTCGACGATCTTATCGAGACTGAGGGATCTGCGATCAATCGAGCAATTTGAATCGGTAACCCTGGTTTGATCTGTGAAATCGTACAATCATACGATCAGGATTCCAAATTTGATTACTATGTTAGCACTTTTTTGTTGCTCAGTGTTGTTTCTTCTTATGGGATGTATGGAGTATTGTTATTCTCTGATCTTCTGTTTTCTAGTATTGATTTGAAAGGTGATGGATTTTTTTTCTATTTTAGATGTAGTATTTTTGTTCTCTTATCATTGGGCATTCATATTTGATTACAAGATATCATCTGCAACATATAAGTGCATTTTATCAAAGAGGTTCACCTTGGTTCCGTGTGGCTCCTTTGCTCCGTGTTCGGAACGTAAAAGGCCTCGGTGCCTCTTGCCTTTTGAAACTAAGTTCTGGGGAGCTGAGTTGGGTCTTCCCATCTATGGCTTTCATCTTTTTTTATCCATCTGTAGCTATACAGCCTTGGTACTCTGATTCATCAACCATCTGTTTCTTTTGATAATGTGATATGGAGGCCATGGTTTTTCCCCTTTTATCTTTCAGTCTCGTGCTTGGAGGGGGGAAATTTTTCTATTTTCATTTTGAATGTCTGGTCTGAAGCTAATTGTCAAGCTCCATTGTTCTAGCTTTTCAGAAAATAGAATCCTGACCTGCCAGACATTGCAGCACCATCTGATAATATTTTTCAAATTTTGAATTACTAAATGATGTCATTAAATAAAAAGTTACATTAATTGCTTTAGAACATTTGGAATCATGATTTCCCCCCTTCCCCTCACATTTTAAACACATCAATATTATTTTCTCTTGTGGCTTTTTTCACTTCAAAGATGTGGGTGGATTGTGCATGATGCACCATCATTTAGTGCATGTATTAATCAAACTGTTTAATGAACACCTAAATCTTAGAATCCTAGAAATGTGAAGAATGGATTCTCACCCTGAAAATTATGGCTTGAAATTGTCCATCAAATTCAGGTAACTTATGATGGTATAATAAGAGATTTGATAAATATCCCTGTAATGAAAACAGAAACCATGTCTTAGAGGCATCAGGAAATTAGTTTTGTCAAAGAGCTAGGATTGTTGTATTGACGCTTATCCAGAAAGGGAAAAAGTAAATAAATACAGTTAGCAGTTGTGAAAATGTCTATTGTATTCTTTGCTTTCTGATAAATGGATATCCCATCTTGAAGTTTGGACATTGCAATGTAGCAAAGTGATAAAAAATTCGGAATGTAACTATAATTCTGGTGTGTAGTTGTGCTCAGAAACTATTTTGTCATATTTTTTGTATGACAGCTAGATTGTCAGCATCTCTCTCTTGTATGGTGTGCTGACATCTTTCCTTTTCTTGCTCCTTGCTAATTTGATGTTTTTTCATTGGCATTTGTAACATTAGGACTATCTTTTTCCAATTGAATCTTTGGCATTTCTCTACATTTCATTATATTTTTTGTTAAAAAGATTCCTGTAATCAGGTTGACTGTGACAAGACAATAATGGTAAGCTTGAAACATGATGAGAAACTCCCAGATGGTTCGGAATTTGCTTTTCAGGTAGAGTGTCATTGCATTGGTAAATCATACTCCCTCCGTCCCATTTTAAACTCCCTCTTTCGGTTTATAATGTTTGGTTGAAGTTATTTTCAATTTAATTTATATGTGAATTGGGGTGGAATTAAAAAATAAAATTTACATAATTAAAAACTACTCCCTCCGTCCCGAGGTATTCGTCCAGTTTTGACTTTTGGAACTGTTCATCAAAGCAATTTGACTCATCAAATTTTCTCAATGTGTAAGCCTAAATATAGTCATGTGTGATCTTGTTTGATTTGTCTTAACATATAGATTATTAATATATAATTTCTATAATTATCTAATATACAAATTACAAGATAAAATGGATTAACGAAGTGTATTGGATGGTGTGTAAAAATGAAAGTGGACAAATACTCTGGGACGGAGGTAGTACATCAGAAGTCCTGCAAAACAAGGAGTGAGTTACATGGCTGTATTTTTTTAATCAAATGACTAACAAAAATTGATAAAGAAAGTGAATAATGTTTGACCATGTCAATAGTAAACAGATAGTGTAATTTGGGAGTTGGGACAGGGGGAGTATTATCCTAAGAAAACATTTAATCCTAAGACAACATTTAGTTCAGTCGTAATGTATTATATCTTCAACTCCTTTGTACTGTATTTATTTGCGTTTAAAGATTATTTGGGTATTAAGGACTGTGTTTTATGCTTTATAGTGTGCTCTTCTCTACACTACAATTGGTGGCCAAAGAAGAATACGAGTTTCGACATTGTCTTTGCCATGCACCACTATGATCAGTAACCTGTTCCGTTCAGCTGACCTAGATACCCAATTTGCTTGTATCTTGAAACAAGGTATTGTTGTAATTATCACTTCTAAAACTATATATTTTGAGCAGTAGCTCCCGAATCATGCATACGCCATTCAGAGCACAATAATATGATGTCTGATATGTTTAGCTTTGACTGGAATATTTGCATACAACCTATTAAGCTGGGGTTCATTTGGCAACATAAATTGTTCTCATATTATGACAACAGTGCCTATGGTGCTCCGTTCAAAAAATTGATATTTTTAACCCCTGCCCCCTCCCCAAAATGAGCACTGTAGCATTTCGGTGTTTTGGGGGGGGACCATCAAGTTTTTGAATGGAGCATCGTAGGGGCTGTTGTCATAATATGACGTTATGGCTTGTAGTCAAAAGAAGGGAGCTTAATAAATATAACCTAGTAATTCTCATCTGATCTACTATTTGGCTCTAAACTTGGAGCGGGTGTCACTGAATTTTAGTGTCATCCGATGACATCGGCTCCGTTCACAAAATTGTGCTCATACTCCTAACCCCCCCCCCCCTAAATACCCCAACCCCCCTCCCTTCCCCCTTCCGATCAGCATGGAAGGAGGGGGCTGGGGTCTGTATATTTAAGTTTTTAGTATATATCAAAATTTATGCTGACACCTCAATGCACAAATAGGCTAACGCCTCCTTTTTGCCAAAGCCACCTAAAGTATGCAATAAGAAATTTAAAACATCGATTGATTTGTAATAATAAGAAAACTATATTTTATTATACAAATTTATGACATATGTTTGGTTGTTGTTAAAGAACCAACTCAACCAACCTCCTTTTGGCCAAAGCCATCTAAACTATGCAATAAGAAATTTAAAACATCGATTGATTTGTGATAATAAGAAAACTTTTTTTTTATTATACAAATTTATAGCTTATGTATTGGTTGTTGTTAAAGAACCAACTCAACCAAACGCTCAAGCTTGTAGTTGTAGGCCTTGGAAAGGTTTTTATATCCTAACACGCCCCCCTCACGTGAAACCTTAATTACTTTTTTTAAACTGGGTGGCAGTGAGTTTCGACTTTCGAACCCATGACCTCTTGGTCAATAAGGCTTCGATACCATGTCAAAGAACCAACTCAACCAAAAGCTCAAGCTTGTAGTTTTAGGCCTAGGAAAGGTATTCATATCATAACCGTTGTGATTCACAACCAATACATTGTGACATGATTCAAAAACATAATGCTAGAACTAAGACAATGTTGAAAGCAAATTTGCACTTATTTATCCATCTATCTGAAATCTGAATGCATTCTACGTGTGACGTTTACGAAAATACCATTTGGTTTGCCACAATATTATTTTATGCCTTATTGGTATGACAAGTTTGTATAGTTTATCCACACGGCAAACTGTTTGGTAGTTTTGAACAACCTACTACGTTGATGTGACCTATTTTTTCTTTTTAGTGTTTTTTTAGTCGCAGTCTTACTATATATACACATTGATAGTTTTTTTTTTAAATCTTTCGCTGTTTTTTTTGCAGCCGCCAATGAAGTTCCTACGGCTCCACTTTCACAGATCCGGGAACAAGTGACTACCCGTTGCATCAATATTTTGTATTCCTATCGCAAATATTGTGCCACGGTTTCATCATCGGGGCAACTTATTCTTCCTGAGGCACTTAAACTGTTGCCTTTATACACTCTTGGTACATATTTTTCCCTGTGTTCCACAAAACTCTTTCGGCCTACTTTTTTGCACACCCTATAAAACACTTCTACCTCCACCTAAAATGTCTAAAATACACCCCATTACGTAGTTTATTGTGGGTAGAAGTTTTTTTGGGGGTATTTTAGACATTTTAGGTGGGGTAGAAGTGTTTTATGGGGTGCACAAAAAAATAGGGCTGAAGAGTGTATTTCTTGCCAGTTCAAAAATGATTCACTTACAATTAAAAAAATTCTGTATTCCAACATCCAATATTGATTATGTGGAGAATTATGATGAACACACCCCGGTAGGACCCACTGATGCTCAAATGTACGGAGTGTTACTTAAGGGAAGCCTGAACTGCAATTTGTTTCAGATATTCAGTTGTGCGAGATATCTAGTCTTAAGATGATTTGATGTTTTCCGCCGTTTTGCATAATGTTTGTCATATAATGTTACTGGAAAAGTTCATATATACCTGATGTGTGATTGTGAAGTACTTTTGAGAATTTTTGTGGGAAGTGTTTGGTGTTGAGGTCGAAAACTGATATTGAAATTTAAAATAAAAAATCTAAAAAGATATTTTTTTAGACCTCAAAAACAATTCTCTGAACACAAGTCATTTGTGAATTGTGGTTAGAGGTTACAGTGGTTCTTAGCCTGCTGAATAAGCTCTTGCTCGATCCTAGTTTTGGGATTGCCTTAGGACCAAAAGAATCTTTTTCCATCACAAACATTTTGTGTGTGCTCAAATTTCAAATCCTTGATTGCTAAATCAACATCCGTGTGTTTTCAGCTTTGGTAAAAAGCACTGGATTGAAAACTGATGGTCGTATAGATGATAGATCATTTTGGATCAATTTTGTCTCTCCTCTTTCTGCTCCACTTGCAATTCCCTTTGTGTCTCCTAGACTGATAGCGGTTCATGATCTCAAATTGAAGGTACAATTTGTAGAACTACCTGTATTATTGTGCTACTGTTCTTAATGGATATTATTCTTATATGTTTTTCCTTTAAAATGACAGGAGGCAGATGCACCTCTTATTCCAGCTTCTATCCCACTTTCCAGTGAGCATATTAGTGACTCTGGGATATATGTCCTTGAGAATGGGGAAGATTGCTTAATTTATGTTGGGGGCTCTGCTGATCCTGATATCATGCGCCAATTGTTGGGCTTTTCTTCTATTGAAGAAATGCCTGCTCATGTAAGTCCTGTGCCATTGCAATTTAGAATTGTTGTGAATATAACAAGCAGAGACAACACTCCCATATGAAGGAGGCCTTATATGTAATCTATTGGAGTTCCATGACCTAGAGGATGACTGTCAACATAGAATTTAAAAAAAATACTGGTCTTTAAAAAATTAAGAGAATGGTAAGGGGTGACCATGGTTTACCCAGGCATGGGATTCTGAGATCTGGCAGTGTCCTACACTCATTACCTGTTTTTTGTTGGTGCTGAAGAAGTCCGTGAGTGTTCTTAGGACCAATAGAAGGTACAATATCTTAGAGCCAGTCCAGGGATTCTGGGATAGAATATTTTTAGTTTGTGCTGTGTTCGGGTCAGTTGGTTTGAACATGACTCTTGTTTTAACTTTTCAGATGGATTGCAAACTTATTTTCAAATTCATATCACAAACCTCTCAAGTAGCAGCTAAAAAGTCTGAGCAGCCACTGTGAATTTCTAAGTTTTTCATCAACCATAAACTTGTCCACTAGCGAGAACATACTTATGTCTAACGACTTACAAGAAGCAAAATAAATTTTAAACAATGTATATCTGACTATCTATCTGTCCATCCAAGCATACAACAACAACAATCCAGTTAAATCCCACAAGAGTATGGTCTTGGGAGATGTGTGTACGCAGACCTTACCCCTAGTTGAAAGTAGAAAGGCCGTTTCAAAGAGAACCCCGGCTCAAAGTTGATAGTTGCATTGATTGACTAACTGCTACTTCATTATTTAAAGAAGCGCAGACATTTTCGATATCCATTTTGCTTTATTCCATTACACCCCAAAGCCAAAAAATTGTGAATTTTTTGCTCCATCGGAGATTGATTTAATTTTTGTACATCCAAGCAAGATTACATAAATTAAATAAGTACTTAACTTCTTTGGATGTTCCAACAACAAACAACAACAACAACAACCCAGTTGAATCCCACTACAGTAGGGTCTGGGGAGGGTGTGTGTACGCAGACCTTGCCCCTACTCGGAAGTAGGGAGGCTGTTTCCAAGAGACCCCCGGCTCAATCTGCACAAAAATATGGAAGGGAACACAATATCACACCGATAAAGCACCAAGTACAATGAAATGAAAGTCCTGCAAGCAATAGCAAAAGATTCCAAACAAACACAACATACTACAAAACAACCTCTATAGCACCGAGCTTCTATCCAGCTACTCTAATCTTAGTTCTCCAAAGGTTCCTATCTAAGGCCATATCCTCAGTTAGGGTGAGAAGTCCTAAGTCCTGCCTAATCACCTCCTCCCAATTCTTCCTAGGTCTACCCCTTCCCCTACTTCCCCCGATAACTGTAATCCTCTCGCATCTTCATACACGGCGTCAGCATCCCGCCGTCTCACATTACCAAACCATCTCAACCTCGCTTCCCGCAACTTATCTTCCACCGGCGCCATGCCTACTTGACGTCGGATAACTTCGTTCGAAATCCTATCCAACCTTGTCTTCCCACACATCCATCGTAACATCTGCATCTCCGCCGCATGCAGACGACGCACATGAGTCTTCTTAACCGCCCAACACTCTGCCCCATATAACATAGCATTTGGATGTTCCAATTAAAATATTTTGGCCTTTGTTGTGTATTGAAAAAGTCATGAAGTGATATGATTATGTCATTCTAGTATTTTGGGACCTTAGAAATGCTCGATATGTTTGACCCACCATTCCAGTTATGAATGTTAGAAGTTTTCCCACACATTATTTGAGATTATCAATCTATCCTTAAATAGTTCTATAAATGATTAGGTAACCTTGAAGAGTAAACAAGGATAAAATTATTATATTTCTGTAGTCCATGAGCAAACCAATTTTCCCTTTAGCCTTACACAAAATTTAAGTCACCCCTATGGTCCTATCCATTTAAAGAGATAAAATAGATTGTGTTATGCTTGTGTGAATTGGATATATCTCATATTTTTCCGTTTTACAGTTTGTGCTGCAACAATATGACAATCAATTGTCAAAGAAGCTTAACGAAATCATAAATGAACTCAGGCGCCAAAGGTGTAACTATTTCCGGTATGATAGTCATTTCACTGTTACCTCCTCTTCTTTCCAAGAGTGTATAGGATCTCTAATTTATGAAATGCTTTATTTTGTCACTTTGCAGCTTAAAATTATGCAAAAAAGGTGATTCATCAGGTTTGTGATTCTGCATTCTAACTTTGTTTTACCTTGTCGTATTTCTATCTATCCTAGTCCTACACAGGGCACATACATTTTGGACTATAACCTATCTAGATTTGCATTGAAATTGAGGTAATAGTCTACATAGAGGACTTTTGATCTTTCACCATATTTTCGCCTTCCCATGTGCTTCTCCCTTTCAAAACTGTGCCCCAACTTTCTTCTACTTCGTCTCTCACTGAGGGAAAAGAACAAAAAGATTCTCAACAAGGGGAAAACAGCGGGATTCTTCTCTTTTTCGTGCTCCCTTCCAAAAACCGATCCGACCCGAACATTTAAAACTAAAAATCCTTTCTATGCCTCTACGGAGTATTGCGTATGATATAATATATTCACCCATTTCTTCACATCTCGTTCTTTTCCACACTCAACCGCATCTCTCTCTAGCTCACATCTCGCTACTTCCTTCTCGATTCTTTTTTACCTCACATGTTCGGTCTCCAATCTTGTTTATCATGTCTTTTTGTATTTAATTTTTTGACTACAAAATACTGTGTATAATTTCGTATAATATATTTTCCCATTTTTGTATATGCAAATGTAGCAATTTAATGTGTCAAAATTTTGGTCGGGTTCGAGTCGGATGTTTAGTTAAAAGCTTGGTTTGAAATTGGTTATTGGTTAAAGTGTAGGTCGGGTTTGGGTTTCGGGTTTAAAAGTTGGGTTCAGGTCGGGTTGGGTTTCAAGTTGAAAAAATCAGATTTGGGTTTTGGGTTTAAAAGTCAGGTCAGGTTTGGGTTTCGTACTCTCCGACCGAACCTGGCATGTTGCCCTCCCTACTCAGTTGTACGCTTTTCTCTATAAATTTTCCCTGCAGAATTTTTTTACATAGCTGTACCCATTGCCATGTCACTTACAGAGACTATTTGACGGGGCTATTTGTTATATTTCAGGAATGCTGTTTTTCTCGTATATGGTCGAAGATAAGACTCAAGCCGGACTCTCATATGTTGAGTACCTCATACATATTCATCGTCAGATTCAAAGCAAAATGGCATAAACACGTGTTGTTTGCTCTGATCAGATGAGGTCAAGTTATAAAAGGTGTGGTTGGCTTCTAAACACGGACTGATGAATATAGATAGTGGACCAAGCAGTTTTTTTTAAATATATGGCAAATTTTTAGTTGGCAAATATAAGTGTGTAATGTCTATTTCTATTTGCTGCTGCAATTAGGCTTAAATGGAAATGGTTAGAGACAATTTTATTCTGGGTTTGGTGCGTGGGCAGATCTTCAGCTGTCGGGAGGTTTTTTTTTTTACTTGAATTTTGTAAAATAGTGTTTTCAAGATACTAAAGTATAATACAAAAACGTATAGACAGGCTTATTTTTGTTCTTTTATTGATTGATAGGGGCAACTGATGGATGTTTAAAACCTACTAATCACATACGTAGATAAGATCTCCTAAACCTTTATTTTTCTAAGGCTAAGCATAACGCTCCACCCTCCAATTGTGTGTGATCCAACATGGCACTTGCCATGGTGGAGTGAGACACCATGAACACCAATCCTCCATTGGAGTGAGAGGAGGGCAGGATTATTTCCGGGAGCACAGCCATGGTAAGGCAGGCCACTTTAATAATTTTTTTTGTTTTTTTTTATTTATTTATTGAACTGTAATGTGTATTTTGTTCATATCTTTTTTGCATACAAGTCATTATTTGATATAAAATATATCGTTGAAAATATTTTCGCAAGATCTAAACAAAGATACCAACATTGCATATATAATTTATATGCAAAAAACATTTTAATAATAAATTATGTAATCATATTTTTTCCCTTTTAAATTCATCTAATTTATAATTTTATTCTTTTTTATTATATAAAAAAGTTAAGCATGCTTACAAATTTAAATCAGTGTTACTTGTAACATATTTGTATAATTTTTTAAAAAAATTAGTAGTAACCTTTTTTAGTTGTGCAAAAGAATATTTTATACTGTTATTTATCTTTTCTCGCTCATGATAAAAAATAAAACAAGAAAAAAAATTGACAAATAAAATAGGACGAAAAATTGAACAAATTCTATATAAATGGAAAACAAAAATATTAAAAGAAATATAAGATAAAATATGGAAAAGAATCTTTAAAGAAACTATATAAAACAAAAATTTTAATTTCTATTTTAAAAGAAAGAGTTTTGATTTGAATAGAAATATGTAAATATTAAATAAAAAATTGAAATGTAATCATTGCCGTAGAAGTGAGGTACTACAGGTGTGAAGTGAATGAGATATGGAGTAGCTGCTGATTTGGAGTAAATCGTGGTGGAGCACTATGTAGCCTAATTGTAAAACCATAAAAAGGATTTTTACAAGATAAAGGTGTAATTCATTGGAACAAGAATACAAGCCAAGAAGAATAAGTGGATCAAAATGTAAGAAGTGAGATTGAGGTAAAAAGTTCTGATGGTTTGATTTTCATCAATATCTTCTAATCTGCTTAAATCTAATCTGATTGATGAGCTCTTCGAATGTGATGATGAATTAAAATTGGTGTTTGGGATTCAGTGTTTTTTACTCATAGTGATCCAATTCTTTTGGATACACACACTTTTGACCATATAAGATGTTAGTAGTACTAATAATAGAACTTGTTACTTGCAGGGATCCAATTTCTCGGGATACTCATACTTTTGACCGTATGACGTTACTGGTAGTGAGAATTAGATTTGTTACTCGCACAAATCGAATTTATCGGGATACTCATAGCTTTGATTGTATAAGGTTTTACCAGTACTGACAAATGAACTTGTTACTTGCACAGATTCAATTTCTGTGAATACTCATAATAATTGTATAAGATGTTACCGGCATTGAGGATTGAACTTTTAACGTGCACAAATCCAATTTCTCTAGATACTCATACTTTTGACTGTATAAGATGTTACGATTTTACTTACGAAACTTGTTTCTCGCACGAAAAAGAATTCCTTTGGATTCGCATACTTTTTATGTATTGATATGAAATTGTTACTCGCACCGATCCAATTCTTTTGGCTACTCATACTTTTGACAGTATAAGATGTTACCGATATTTATAAGTCAACTTGTGACTCACACGAATTAGATTCCAACAGATATTCATGCTTTTGACCGTATAAAATGTTACCAATATCGATAACTAATCTTTTTACTCCCACAGATAAAATTTCTCTAGATACTTATACTTTTGATTGCATAGAATGTTACTATTATGAATAATTGAACTTATTACTCACATGGATCTAATACCTCTCGATACTCAAATTGTGACAGTATAAATGTTACCAGTACTGATTACTGATCTTGTCACTCGCACGGGTAAAATTTCTCTGGATACTCATACTTTTGACCGTTTGAGATGTTATCAGTACTGATAACTGAACTTGATATACCCTTGACTACCAACAACGATCCTCAAGTCCTTAAACAAATCTGTGGAATAATGTCCAAGTGTTTTAATCTTTTTTGGAATGAATATATCACCCCAAAACCATACAACCCAACCTTAGTCCTTTTGGATCTACCCCCACCTTGATGGCCGAAAACACCACCCCAAACCAATCCCCCAAAGTATCCAAATCAAACCCAAGCCCTTCCCCCCTTCCCCTCCTACCTTGGCCGAACCCACACACCCCACAACTCCTTAAAACCATACATAAAAGACCCAAAAACAACCCACTCTTTTCCCCCTTTGATTTAGCCGAACACAAGACACCAAACCCAACCCAAATTATTCCCCAACATGTACCAACAGTGGCCCCCATGTGTGCCCTAACCAAACCACACAAACATCTCCCTTGATAAGGCCTACAATGACACCACACCTACTATATTCCCTTCACCATTTGAGGCCAAATAAACAACCAATAATCCATCCCCCCTTAACCCCACTCATGGCCGAACACACCCCACCAAAACACCCAAATACCACCCGCCACTTCAAGCCAAATAAACCCTCCATCACACACCTCTTTTATTCTCCCAAAAACTGACCAAAGACATTCCCCCTCAACCTCCACTTATTAACCACAACTAAGGGACAAAGAGCATCAGCCATTATTCCTTTTTCCCTCCCCCTAAATGGCCGAACACAATGGCCTATTTCCAGCCAAGGAACCTTCCCCCTTTTACCTCATTATTGGCCGAAACAGCAAGCCCCCACAACCCTTTAAAGTCCCTAAATTCATTCCTTAAAATAAGTGGATATTATTCATTTGATTTGAGTGAAAGTAGCAAAGAAGCTTCCTTATGTTTTCTCCTTTTCTTTGTATAAATTCGGCCCTAGGCCATGGCATTTGGATCATCTTTTGTAATCCATTACTATTAAAGAAATACACTTGTGTGTGTTCTTTTTTTTTTTAAATTCCTAACTCTATATCTTAAGAGTGGTTCTCTTGAGTGTGAATTTTAGGTTCTAGATATTTAAGTAAGTGTGTAATATCATATTTGAATACTAGACTCAACCCCAAGTTAAGATAGGAGTGTGTTATATCTCCCAACACCAACTTGGTTTATCCCCCCTTTTAAAGAAAAACCCAAATGAATTCTATCTCTCCTCTTCTCTCCCATTCGGCTTCCACTCCTCCCACCACCCATATATTCCATTTTCTCTCCTCTCCTTAATAAAATACAAGCCTTCCCAACACCCTTCCTCTACTGCCCATACGTCCCCCTCTCCAAAACAGCCCCTTCCCTCTTCAAATCCCATACAAGCTCCACTAAAAACTTGCTACCTTTCATTACCCTCATTCGGCCCTATTTCTACCCCTTTTGTCTCAAGTTGGAGCCTAACAATAGATCCAATTCTTTCGGGTACTCATACTTTTGAGTATATAAGATCTTACCAAAATTGGAAAATGAACTTGTTACTTGTACAGATTTAATTCCTCCGGATACTCATTGTTTTGATCGTATAAGATGTTACCGATACTAATAACTGAACTTTCTAGTTGCACAAATCATATACTTCTGGATCATATTGAGAAATGAACTTTCTACCGTATAAGATGTAACACCCCGAAAATAAAACTATAAGAATTAATTCACTGATAATTATTTAATTATTGAGATGAATTTAAAAATAAGTGATTTATAAAGTTTATCAATTAATTATGCAAATTATATATCATTGTGTAGAGTTTGACTATCTGATCGCAACGGTGCAATCAAATTTTAATTTGGAGAAAGTTAGACCAAAATGTATACCCGGTTGTGACCTTTTTAGCGTAGTCAGGGAAGAGGCGTATAAATATTTCCAGATCAAAAATCGGCGCTTGAATCGCAAAGGTGGCTTTTGTAATTAGTCATGACTTCATCTTACTCAACCTCTTCCCCAAACTTTCACTATATAAGGACCTCTCATTTCTCTACCAAAACTCACCATTTATGTCCCATAAGCTTCTTGAGAGTGTGGAGATCAAGCTGCCATAGCTTGTTGCCACTCGAATCGCCAGAGATAGTCGTGGTGTTTGTCGGAAGTTTCACTGGAAAATTTCTAAATCCTTTGTTTGAGATCGAAGTAATCCCTTAGATATATCTAGTTATTAGAATGTTCATGTATACCATTTTTACATTCATAAATGGTCATTTAGTTGAGTTATTTGTTAGAAAAGCTCAAAATATATTTTGATGAACCAAGAATTATAAACTTTAAAATTATTGTTAAGAATTCGAAATAATTATTTAAAAATGGTACAAATTTGGACTATAAATTGTGAAAACATATATATATTTAAATAATGAAAAAATGTAATATAATTAAATTGATTTTAAAATTTAGTTTTGAAATATCAAACTTTTCTCACATCTACTAATATACTTATGTTTATAAATGAAAAAATAAGAGATAAATTCAAATAGTGTTATGTTCCATTTGAATATAATTTGTTAAAAGATTGAGTAAAATTGGGTGAAATTAGGTGAATTTTATTCAATTGAGTGCAAAATTTATAAATTATTGAGTTTATTTTGTTGAAAATGGATTAAATTAAATTTAATAAAGTTAAATATAATTAATTTTACACTTAAATGTAATGGTGTAGATCAAATTTGAAAATGATAACACTAAATGTTGTCGCTAGAAAGTCTTTTCAAAACGCTAACACTAGCACCTAATTTTATTGGCTAATATTGAGTAAGTTGGTTTGAAACTAATCAAATTAACTTTCAAATCAATAAAATTTATTGTAATGGGTTGAAATCAGGATAATATTTAGTTATTCCATACAATTTATCATATAATCCTTTTGTCTCAAAAAGAATATCACACTTCACTATTTAAAAATTACGAAAATTTTATTTGTTTGAGCGTTATCATTTATATGTATAACTTCTTTAATTTCTACATATAATAAATTTAAGGCATGAAATTTTGTACTTTTTTTCAAGAAGATAATCCATTTTATGAGGGAATGAGCAAATAATGTAATTAGTTCAAATGGTAAAATAAAACTAAAAATTTAAAAATATAATATGCTTATTGAAAGGAAAACATATTTCCAAATTTATCGATGAAGGTTCTAATCGGTTTCGGATATAATCGGTTTCGAATCTAATCGGTTTCGGGTTTTATCGGTTTCGGGTATTATCGGTTTCGGATCTAATCGGTTTCGGGTTTAATCGGTTCGTATATTATCGGTTTCGGATCTAATCGGTTTCGGATTTAAATCGGATATGAATTATTTAGTTCGGTTTCGGTTTTGGATATTTCGATTCGGGTAATCGGTTTCGGTTCTGTTTTGCCAGGTCTAGTGATTATCTCATATACCCATTAGGTTACTCAAAACTCAAAAGGCGTAAACCTAATTTGAATCTAGTGACATTTGTTAGAATAAAGGCCCAACGCTAGAAGGGGGGTGAATAGCGTTTAAAACAAAATCGCAGGAAATTAAAAACGAGAGCGTAAAGGTAAAGAGCGTAAGGAAGGAGCACACCGAATTTTATCCTGGTTCACCACAACGTGTGGCTAATCCAGCCTCCCGAGAGACTCTCTCGAGCTACACTAACTCCGTTAAGCTTAAGGGTGCTTAACAAACCATACAACTTGAGAACCCGAGTCACACGAGCCTCAACACCTTTGCTCGGAGATACCGCACTCCAAGACTTCTCACGAAGGAACAAAGGACTTCCTTCGAGTTTACAACAAGGGAACAACCTCCCTTACAGTGTATGAAAACATTTAAACACTCAGGAGTAAAACTCTCACAAAGAGTAGATATGAGTGAACTAGTATACGCTCAAGAACATGACAATTTCTTCAAGAATTGGCTCTCAAATAGCTAAGAAAAATAGGAATGATTATGCAATGAAAGAGTATTGAAATGTTGAAGAATTGTGTGTAAAATGAGAGGATTTGGGTGCCATTTTATAGCCCAAAATGGGATAAAACCGTTGCTAAATTTTCCAACAGGATGAAGACAAATTTTTCAGAGTTGCAGGGTGATAATCGATTGTCTAGACATGATAATCGATTATTAAAAGATTCCCTGTCCAAAAGTTTAAAAATCTATCCGTTGGAGGACAACGGTAACCCAGATAATCGATTGTCAACAAGTGATAATCGATTATTGGTCCTCTCAGAAGTTTCTGGGTTTTGGCTGCACAGGTTGATAATCGATTATTGCATAAGTGATAATCGATTATTGCGTGCTTCAGAACTTTGGAGTTCCAAAGCTACAGGGGCTGATAGTCGATTTTCACTAAGGTGATAATCGATTATCACCCAGCTAAAGTCTAGCCAGCTGAAACCCGTTTTGAAAAACCGAGGTCCAAAAACGAAGTGTTCCCAAAAGTAAAAACCAAGTTTGAAAAACATTGTATATGGTATAAAATAGTGAAACCAAGACTTGTTTGGTAAAAACCAAGTCTCCAAGGTCGTAAATCACGTGTGTACGGTTTTGACCGTTTCTCACGTGTTAGACCGATTGACCAAGATACAAAAGTGGTTTTTATGAAATAATTATTTGGGAACCTTTTAAATATGCTCAGAGATAAAAACAAGGTTTAAAACATAGAAAACCACCGAGTTGGTTCGGGCGCCAAAAAACCGAACGCCGAACACCGTACGCCGACTTAGGTGATTTTGGTTCTGAGCCAGGACCAGGGATTTTAACAATAAAAAAATTTATCAAAAATGTTTATTTTGATGCACAAAAATATTTTATGATTTCGTAAAATTATTTTGACTCTTTGAGAACCGAGACTTGAATTGATTGTCGGTTTTGATCACAAAAGACCGACTCGACTAAGTCTTCAATTCTTGATCTTGTCCTTGAGTCTTTTAGGTCTTGTTCCATGCCATTCTTCACGCCTTGAGTTATTCAACGAAACTTTTCATATCCACAGCGGTTTGGCAATTATCAAAACCTGTCAGAAATGAACACAACTTTAGTTAAACGTGCAAAATGTGTTCCAACAATTTCCCCCTTTTTGATAATGGCAAACAAGACGGGGATATGCATAGGGTTTTGATCTTTTTGAAAAAAATTCCCCCTTAATAAAATTCCCCCTTAAAATATGCATAGCCCTTATCTTCCCCCTTTTGACATTAACAAAAAGATTTAATAACAAAAACCATAAAGATTTTTATTAATTATTTAAGGGAAATAGAGGAGTACATAACGAAAGCATATTAAAAGATGATAAAATAAGGAAGAGGAGAAAAATAGAGCTAGAGCTCTTAGAAATCCGGGGAAAGATCATTGAGAAGCTGTTCTTCGTCAATGTCTTCTTCTTCATCGTCTCCATCTTCATCACCACTGCCATCATCATCATCATCTTCTACTTCTTCATCTTCAGCTTCTTCGTCTTCCTCTTCTTCTTCTTCTTCAACGTTCACCCCTTCTTCTCTTCCAACGTCGTTAGTCCCACTTGGTTCACCACCTGGGTTTGGCGGAGGAACATAAGGGACCATTTGAGCGTAGGGGTAGTTGACAAAGTCAAAATACCCATGAAGCTCACGGCTCAGAATATTGACGTTATGTGCCGTTTTGGAGATGTTGGTGTCTCCGAGAAAGGGTGGTGGTCAAAGCTGCCATTTGCTCGGCGAGAGACGGATTGGTTGAAGCGGCGGCAGTCGAGGCAGTGGCTCTCGGTTGGCGGCGAGGACGAGGCTGCGGGAACGTAGCTTCATCGGTTCCTGGGTGGAAGGAGGACTCGTCAATCACCCAATGCTTCGTCCCTTTGCATTTCGGCCAGACGTCCGTCTTGATGTGGTACTCATCAAGGATCGCCATGACGAGAAGAGCATAGGGGAGCGGCCGGTTGTCGGAGGTGGCGTTGAACATGTGGATCATCACAAATTTACACCAATTGATATTGGCGTTGTGAATCATCGCATGGATCGTCTTCGTGTCTTCTTGGGAGAGAGTGGTGTGGTTGAACTTCCTGGGCTTGAGGATCCGTGTCAAAACATAGAAGATGAAACGATACACGGGACTCATGGAAGCAATCGTAGGGCGCCGCTGTTGGGGAGTGGGGACGAAGTTTCGAATGCCCACTTCCTCCAAGAGGGCGGTCTCGTTGAACCGCGCTCTTTCTTCTCCGACGTAGAGCCCGAGATCCTGTCCGTCCCGATGAAGCCCGGTGAGGATTTGAATGTTCTCCTCATTCAAATAGATGCCCACCCCGTTGACGTTTGAAATCAACGATCCGTCCTCATCCTTTTTCAAGTTCGAATAGAAAGCTCGAACAAGAAAAGGGTGGTAGTCGTTCTTCGTGATGTAGAGTAGGTCGAGGAAGTGTCCTTCTTGGAGGATGACCCGTGCCTGGCGTGGAATGGAGCTGTGAATGAAGCGGCCCGTGGAGAACTGGGGAGGAAGAATCTCCCGGTGCTCAAACTTCTCCGAGAACCTCGCAGCCTCTTCGCGGTCGTTGAACCAAAGGAACGACCCGTCGAGATACTTGTGCGCAGGTGGTGGAGGAGCCGAGGAAGAAGCCACGTTCTTGCCGGTGCGAGATCTTTTTCTTTGATGACCTCCTGACATTTCAACAAAGTAGAGAGGGAGTAGAGAAAAATTGCAGAAAATTTGGCTAAGAGTTGAAGAACAATAGCAAGAATTGAAGAATAATTGCAAGAAGGATGTAATACTGATGAATATATGAAGGAATTGTGATTTGTGTGAGTATAAAATGAATGGATGTCACCAATATATAGTGGAAGAGGCCTGAGATGCGTTTGGGAAGTCAAAAAGGTGCCTTGAATGCAGTTCCAACGTCTCTGTAACGGTCAGATTTTTGAAATTCTGCCGTTGATAATCGATTTACACTCCCTGTAAATCGATTATCTGAGTCTTCAGATTCTCCGCCAAAGAAACTGCAGGCTTCAATAGTCGATTTACACTCCCTGTAAATCGATTGTTTTGTGCCTTAGTTGCCTTAAACTTCTGCAGGCTCAAACAATCGATTATCTTAAAGTGGATAATCGATTGTCGTTTCCTTCACTTCTTGGTTCCAAACTTCTGCGGGCTGTGATAGTCGATTATCACAAGCCTGTAAATCGATTTTCACCAGGTCTGAAACAAAAATCGATTTACTTTGTTCCCCCTGCCTTTGACACCTGAAAAATAAAATTTAAAAGAAAATCCCTGCAAAAAAGAATTAAAAGCGTCTCCGACGTTCAAGTTAGTAAGGACCAAAAAAGAATGGTAACTAATGCACAACTTAGATCATCGTGGAGTCAAGGATTCCGAGTTCACTACGAATGTGGAAGAACGACTCTTTCTCTAAAGGTTTTGTGAAAATGTCGGCTAATTGGTTGTGTGTTTCAACGAACTCAATTTCGACATCACCTTTGAGAACATGATCTCTAATGAAATGATGCCTAATGTCAATATGTTTCGTCCTTGAGTGAAGAACCGGATTCTTTGTCAAGCTTATGGCACTAGTATTATCACATCGAAGAGGGACGTGATCGATACTAAGACCATAATCCACAAGTTGTTGCTTCATCCAAAGGATTTGAGCACAACAACTACCGACGGCAACGTATTCCGCTTCGGTTGTGGATAACGCAACACTGACTTGCTTCTTACTAAACCATGAGACTAAAGAACTACCAAGCAAGTGACAAGTCTCACTCGTACTCTTACGGTCTAATCTACAACCGGCAAAGTCCGAGTCGGAATAGCCAAAAAGATGAGAAGGAGACCCCTTGGGGTACCATAGTCCAACGTTCATTGTACCAACAAGATATTTCATTATCCGTTTTACCGCTGTTAAATGCAATTCTTTCGGACAAGATTGATACCTTGCACACAAACAAACGCTAAACATGATATCGGGTCTACTAGCGGTAAGATAAAGAAGGGATCCGATCATACCTCGATACTTCTTTACGTCTACTTCCTTACCCATTTCATCTTTGTCCAAGTGCTCGGAGGTGCTCATTGGTGTAGCCATTGCTTTGGAACCATCCATTTCAAATCTTTTTAAGAGCTCCTTGCAATACTTTGATTGACAAATGAAGGTTCCTTCCCTCATTTGTTTGACTTGTAAGCCCAAGAAGAAATTGAGTTCCCCCATCATGGACATCTCAAATTCATTTGTCATTAGGTTTGAAAATTCCTTGCACAAAGATTCGTTAGTAGCACCGAATATAATGTCATCTACGTAAACTTGCACCAAGAGGATGTTATCGTTTTTACTCTTGATAAAAAGTGTAGTGTCGACCTTCCCCCTTTTGAACCCGTTGTCCAAAAGAAATTTGCTCAAACGTTCATACCAAGCACGAGGTGCTTGTTTAAGACCGTAGAGTGCTTTCTTTAGTTTATAGACATACTCCGGGTGCTCAAAATCCTCAAAGCCCGGGGGTTGATCAACATACACTTCCTCTTGAATAAACCCATTGAGGAAGGCACTCTTAACATCCATTTGGTATAGTTTAAAATCCATAGATGAAGCAAAAGCNTCGAGTTTGTTACGGAACACCCATTTCGTACCAATTATGGTGTGATCATCGGGTCTTGGCACCAATTCCCAAACGTCATTTCGTTTGAATTGGTTAAGCTCCTCTTGCATTGCCAAGGTCCAATGTTCATCATCAATTGCTTCCGAAATGGTTGTAGGTTCAATTTGAGAAACAAAAGCCATGTGACCTACGGTGTCCCTAAGAGAGCTACGAGTACTTACCTTTCGGTTGATGTCACCGATTACCTTGTCAAGAGGATGGTTCTTTAAAGTCCTCCATGCCCTTGGCATTGGCGTTTCCTCCTCTTGTGGTTGTTCCTCGTTTACGAGTGGCTCTCCTTCCACATCTTGGCTTTCCTTTGAGTTTTCTCCTTCGTCATTGTCGTTGAGATAGATGTTCTCCAATGAATCTACAAGATCATCACAAGAAACCTTTCTCGCCAAGCGAGCATCATTTTCGGCAAAGACAACATGAGGAGATTCCTCAACGGTTAAGGTGCGTTTGTTGAAGACTCTATAAGCCTTACTACGCAATGAATAACCAAGAAAAATTCCTTCATCCGACTTTGCATCGAATTTACCTAAATTATCTTTTCCGTTATTGTGAACAAAAAATTTGCAACCAAAGACTCGAAGATGGGAGAGGTTTGGATTTCTTCCTTTGTATAATTCATATGGGGTTTTCATGAGTATCGGTCTAATGACGGCTCGGTTTAACACGTAGCTCGCGGTACTCACGGCATCCGCCCAAAAATACTTAGGAATTTTTGCCTCATCAAGCATAGTTCTAGCCATCTCCTTGAGACAACGATTTTTACGTTCCACCACTCCATTTTGTTGTGGTGTACGTGGAGCGGAGAAGTTATGCTCGATGCCTAGTTCGTCACAAAACTCGGTAAAGAGATCTCGTTCGAACTCTCCACCATGATCGCTTCGTATGGCTACGGTGGTTAAGCCTTTTTCATTTTGAACCTTTTTGAGAAAATTTTTGAAAACATGAAATGCCTCACTTTTATGAGTTAGAAATAATGTCCATGTGAATCGAGAGTAGTCATCAACGATCACAAAGGCGAAATAGTTTCCCCCAAAACTTTTTGTTCTTGATGGTCCAAAGAGATCCATGTGCAAAAGTTGTAGGGGCCTTGTTGTAGACACAACATTTTTCGATTTAAATGAGGACCTTACTTGCTTGCCCTTTTGACATGAATCACAAATGGTGTCCTTCTCAAACTTGAGTTTCGGAAGACTAACTACTAAGTCTTGTGAAACCAATTTATTCAAAAGGTTCATGTTGACATGAGCTACTCTACGATGCCATAGCCACATATCGTCCTCCTTACTCATGAGACATTTGGCAAAGTCGGAGGGAGATTCATCTAAGTTAACCATGTAAATATTATCAATTCTATCACCACGAAGAATCGTCTTATTGTCACTAAGACGTTCTACCGTACATGATTTAGAATCGAAGGTCACACGATTTCCCTTGTCACACAATTGACTTATGCTCAAGAGATTGTGTTTAAGACCCTTAACCAACAAAACATTATCAATGGAGGAGGTTTCGTTTTTACCAACCGAACCAATGCCGATTATCTTGCCTTTGCTATTATCGCCAAAGACAACGTTTCCTCCTTTAGTTGGTTTGATTTGCAAAAACTTGGATGCATCTCCGGTCATGTGCTTGGAGCATCCGCTATCAAGGTACCAAAGTACACTTGATGCCTTCAAGCACACCTACAAAT